CTTAAGTGCTTCCAAGGTCATTGTCTCTAGATAAAATAGTGGATCATTTAAAAGGAAAAACTTCTGAAGCTATTACTGGCTGTTAGGAAAAATAATTAAATAACATCTAATTACAGTTGGACTGCTGGTTACTCTCAGTGATTTATACCTGAGATTTTCCTAATTCCTGCCAAGATAATTCCTAGGATTATTTCAGTATACTAGTTGTTAAAACAAAGCTTGTTACTTCCTTAAATGCACTCTGAAGATCTTATTTACATGTTTTACTCCTAAATAAACATTTCAGAGCTTCAAATACTGGGTGTCTGTATTGCATAATTGACTGAAAGCACTTTTGCTTTCTTTGCTTATATTATGATATTGTTCAGTCCTAGCACATCTTGTACAATAACAAAGGAAAATACCATCCTTGGAAGTCTAAAAATACAGACTGCAAACAGAACAGTGGAAGGCAATTCAGTACTTAAGACAGTACTGTGAGCAAAGATGAAAATGTCATGTCAGTTCTGTTGTATTTCTTTTCTGGATCTGTTTCCAACTAGTGGCATGCAGATAATGCGGCCACTGCATTCATTAGTCTTCTGAGGACATTTACAAATAGGAAGAGTTGTGGTGCGGAGGAGCTCGGGAGGAGAGTCACAGAAAAAGTTCTTAGGAGTGAAACACAGAGGTGAAGTGAGAGACATGGCTATGTAGTTGTATGGCACTTGATGAGTGAAGGAGGAGGTGTGTAGTTGCTCCTTGCAGCATTTTCTACCCAGTCATTCCTTGCCTGTCTCTCCAGGGAGTGGTTGCGGTGCTAGCTCTTACTTGAACGTAAGGACATGGACACCAAGGAGTTGCAATCGGAGTGCAGAAACGTGTCCAGGAATTGGTGGCTAATAGCACATTTAAATATGCAACTGTCAGATACAGATTGATAGAATTAAAACCTCCATGATCAGTCTGTAAATCAGCGTATGTATTCAGTTGGAAAATGGGCCTCTTGAAACATAAACTTGCTAAAAGTAAGCATCACTGAGGTTCTCAATAGCTTCTGTGCTATATTTATTAAATAAACATGTCTTTCTAATTGTCAGTCTTGTGAATGCAACTTGGCAAGATGAAATGTATTACATAATTTTCTTCCCTCATCCCTGAATTTTACTTCTCTCTCTCTAATTCCTCCTACCCCCACCTTTTACAGAGCAAAAGTCCTGCTTTTATATTTGCCTAGATGTGTAAACTTACTAGGCTGTACAAACCAAATTGGTGGTGAAAGGAGTGATCTTGAATGTTTTGGTTTAGTGCTCCAATGTGGAAGAATAATTTGGTTTGTTTGGAGGGTTCAATTTTAGGTGAGGGTCATTTACGTGATTGGCTCTTAAGTTCAAGCTGAGTATCTGTGTTGCAGTATTGTGCTTGATCTCACTGGCAAGCCCCCTAATCCTTTCCCTGCAAACTCTATGGCATTAAAAGAAATGAAATATAAAAAAATTTTACAGTGAACAAATAAATATTTGAGAAGTTTTAATAAACTTTTTAAGACAGCCCCCTGAAGTCTGGAAGTGTGGTAAGTGGGGGGGTTGTTTGGCGTTGGTTTTTTTTTCCATTTTTGCACACTAGGGATTGAGATACGCTGTACTGTGCTTTGAAAGAGCAAACTGCCGCATAACTGGCATTTGAAATGTGAGAAATGCCCTGGTTAACACGTCAGCGGGTTGGGCTTCATGGAGATAATATTGCATCGGCAGTGTTGTGCAGTGAGTTATACACATACATGTGTTCGAACTGTCTTTAAGCAAACCATGAAACAAATCACCTTAAAGCAAAAGTTATTTGGTAGAGGTGTAATATATTTTTATAACATTTGTTTGCAATGGTCTGGATTAGAGGATTACCCCAGATAATCAAGGCTGTAAACTCCCTCACTGTTGTGTGGTAGGACTGAGAGGTTTGAGGGAGCTTTATGACCCTTCAAGAGCGTCTGAAGGGGGAGGGAGGAACAGTAACATTTTCCCTAAATCATGTGCTAGGGAGTAAAGAACAGCCTAGAGGGGGATTATGTCCTCAGATGCAAGGCTGTTTGGAGAAGCTCTTTTATGAAATTCAAATTATTTTTTGCAGCATGGCTTCTTAGAGAAATTTGAGGGCAAAGAAATCTCTATGTTAATTGAATAATATTTTATTTAATGTATCTAGAGATGTAATCTCCCAATTCCCACGTTAATAGTCCAGGTGTTTTTTCCTAGTACATTTGTCCTGATTATTGCTTAAAAGCTTTGTCTTTCAATATAACAATTTTGCAACTTCTTTAAGAAGTTTTCTTGTGGAGGAAAAAACAAGGTTGGTGGTCTTTCTTAAGTCCATCAGAGATTTAGATTTGTTATCAAAAATCAACTTTGTTTTTTTTGTTTGTCAGAGAATCTACAAATTTTTTTGTATTTGAAAAGTTAGCTTATTTTGATGTCTATAGCATATTACACTGTTTTAATTATGGGATGTGGTAGACCTAGGCTTTCTTGTTTCTTTGAGTGAAAGACCACATATGGGATGGGAAGCAGATACTGCTGTGTTTTGTTCTTTTGAGAGGACTGTGTTACTTTTAGATATATCACTTAAAATTTACTTAGACATTTCTTTAGCTAATGCTGATTTCCTTTCATATATTAATTTCTTTTCGTCTTAGCAAGTGTGATTAACTTACCACTGGGAAAACCTTTTGTACAGTATCTTTTTGCATTTATTCCTTCTCTCTTCTGGTGCAATTTTTAAGCTGTGTGTTAAAAGTAGCAGAAATGTCAATAAACACCTTATCTGAACACATAAACGCTGCTTGGACTCTAAGCACATTTCACTCAGAGCTAGAGCTTAGGTAACTGTCACTTTGGAGTGGAAACGTGCATTTCTCCCTTCTGATGGGCACGGTGCTTCTCCTGTCTTGGGCTTCATTACCTGGATGCATCTGGCCTGACTCAAGTTTTGCAAATTCATTTTCCTGAGGAAAATTAGGATGGTTATTAATGGCTTAGTAACTCCCTTAAGTTCTTTAAAATGCTTTAAAGGCATTTGTATCCTAAAATTAGAGATAGAACTCAGACTGAAAGTCTTCATTCCTTGGTTGTTGGCTAGATGTAAAGTCAGGTGGCTCTTGTTTTTGTCTCTTCTGCTAAAAACAAGGTGTGGCCAGCAATTACCTGGAAGACAATCAAGAATTACAGATACTTTCAAGATATATTAATTACATTCTCACTGATCATTACTTCATTGTATTTGTGATTTCATTCATCACTTACTGCCAAAAATCGTAAGACATTCCTGGTGACTTTTAGAGTCCTTGAATTCTTTTTTTCGCTTGAGTTCCATGCAGAACTTGATGCAGTACATTGTTATGGCACATGATGTGATGAAGTACACCACTAGATCCTTAGGACGTTTGATAAAAGCAGATATTTATGGTATGATGAAGTCTCTTGAACTTTTGTTAGATTTGTGGGAGTTTTCTTCAAATGGACTTGGACTTTCTTCCCTGTTCATCAGTCTTATTTTTCAAAAACTTTTGCACTTGGAAAAATAGAATGACATCCAAAGCTTCTGAAATTTAGATAAGGAAAGATGGAAATCCCTGAAATTGTAGCCAGCAGTTAGAACCTCAGGCTTTGTCTAGTGTTTGGAAGACCTAGGATCTAACTGGGAGTTTGGATACTACCTCAGCTTCCGTGTTCTGTTCTTAAGACCAAAAGGGATGGATTGACTAGAAACTCAAGAGAATTGACTTCAGGTATTTGGTTTGGTTATTATATGCAACCATGATTCTGTACAGACTGCTAGGGTTGTTGGTCAGGTTGTTCAGCTTCTTTGCTGGTGCAGGTCTTGGAGCAAAATACCCTGTCTCTCAGCTGAGTGTCTTGGCCAGCAGCTTGTTTGGCATTTGGTGTCTGACTGGCCTTCCATCCTCTTCTGTTCCTGCATAGGAAATACTACAGTTGGTTCTGACATAACAGTGATATATTTAGCCCGAGAAGTCAATCAGCTCTGATCATGTAGCATTAATGTTACTGAGTGATTCTTTCCAACAGTATTTCCAAACTGTTTTTTTCAAAAACGTAACATTGTGTCTAAGCGATCCCTGTAAAATCTCAGAAGTTTTGAAATAAGGATGGATAAATTTCCACTCAAGGTATAAAAAACCTACAAGGTTATTTATATATGTGTGTGTGTATCAGTAAGAAATAAAATTATTAACTTTAATCATTAAGTTTTCTTGTTTGGTGGAGCTCACTGGAAGTTAAAATGTAATTCAGCTGCTTTCCTTCAGGGAAAAATGTTCCCAAGCTCTTCTTTCCTTTTATTATTAAGAAAAAAATTAAAATCCAAACCCAGGTTTGTGTCCCTTACAGATGTTTGTGCAGCCTTGTTTCCTGGGGACAAGAATGGCTCTTTCTCTAGAATGCTTTTAGAAGTAGAGAGGTGTGGCCATATCTCTCTCATGAAGGGAGGACCAGGACATCCTGGGGTGGGCTTGGTGAAGTGGTGAAGCCTTGTTCCCAAATTCCCAGTAGAAGAATCATCCTCATTCTTTATACCTTTGCATCAGACACACCAACCACAGGGAAACTGGAGGCATGGGGTGTAAATACAGCTGCTTTCTCTGTTTTAGTGGAGAGTTTCAGCTGTGAAAGTATGACATTTTTGTTGCTGAATGAAGGCAAGGAGTTAATTTTTCTTGCGCAACAGCCTTTTGTGTGGCTTTGGAAGTGCAAAAGAATATAGAGGATGACCAAATGTAAAAATATGAGTATCCTTTGATGTGGAAGAGTATTATGGTTACAGTGTTAAAAGAATTTTCCTCAAAGTGTTGGATGTCAGCTGGGGAAAAGATCCCTTTCCATTTTTTGCGTCGTACTGTATTAGTGAGCCTAGAATAAATAACTTCCAATAGGTCTATCTCTGTTTTTGAAAATGTTTCAGTCATCCTATAAATACATTTTAAATTTCTATTACTTTATTTTTTGTTACAGGAGCTAGAGTTAATGCCAAAGACAGCAAATGGTTGACTCCTTTACACAGAGCTGTAGCATCTTGTAGTGAGGTATGTTGCTTTTTGTGACTGCTTTGTTTTAAAATAAGGCATCTCAAATTACTTTCTGTCTGATGTTCGTTTTTTAAAAAGTGAAACTACTCCAAATGTTTGGAATTGCAGAACGTTTTTGTAAGTTTATTTAACCTATTGAGGGTATGTATATATGTATAGCGCTTGCCTGAGTAGGAAGAAAGAGGAAAAACTATAAACTTACAGTTCTGAGCTTTGCTCTCTGCAATTTCCTTAGGAGAGGATTCTGCACAGTGTTCTCAAGTTCACTTAACTTCTAAGGTAACCAGAATTGTTTGGAATGAGGGAATTAGAGATAAAGTAAGATTTAATAGTTTTTACAGCATTGTCTTTGCATTTCTTTGGTTTTTTTACGTGCTTGGCTGTTCAGGCATTGAAGAAATAAATGATTCTATAAAGGCCTGCAAATCTCTGTTGTTTTTTTTTAAAAGCGATTAATTAATAATAATAGTATTGAACATCACTTTAAAAATTATAAGTGAAATGTAGCATGTTTCTTGAAGTCTACCAGTTACATAGTTGTGAGAATATAATAATGTAAGAAATTACTTTGTTATTGTTTCTCTGTTGTGGTTGTCTTAATAAAAAATTTAAATGCCTGTAGAAGATCAAAGCAAACAGAGAAATGCTGAGCTTGTTATGTGGAAGAGTTTATGCAAAAGTCTCTCCTTTGAGATCCTGAGTCAAAATGATGTTCATTTCAGTACGTCTCAAGTAAAGATTTTTTATTAGTAAATTTTTGTTTGAGAAGATAGAATTGAATATTTTGGTTTTGACACGCATTGAACTTGAAGTATTTGATCCAACAAACTATCTAAACAAGCCTTGTTTCAGTTTTTGCTTTTGAATTCCCTGGATAAATGGCAGTATTTTGTCACTAGCATTAATAGCTAAGTTATATGGAGATCATGATATTAAAAACAGCGTTTGAAAATGAGTCTTCAAGGGTGCCTTATTCCCAAATGCTGTTTGTTCTTGAGATATTTTTAGGCTGCTCCTTTGGGAGCTGACCGAAGCACTAAATGCTGCATTCTTCAGAGCTGAGGAACAATAAAAGCTCTTTACAACAGTAATGCTTGCAGAGAGGAGTACTGCAGACAAACTGCCTAAATGATAACTTCAAGAAATGCAGCAGTGGTCATATTTTTTTAAATGTGGAAGATTTTGTACAAAATGTTAACCAAAGGCAACCATCACACGTAAACCAATCAGACTGTTTACCCAAAAGCCAATGACAGGCGCTTGTCAGAATTCTTTATTTATAAACACAGTGAGTCATTGGGGCCCGTATAGGTGGTTGATACATATAGGCACCGTTTTCCAGCTGACAGACATATATAGGTTTGGGGCTTTAGATGAAAAGCTGTAATGAAAAAGCTTCATAATGATTTCCGTAAAACATCTGGATTTACTTGTTAAGTAAGGACAGCTGCAATTAAACAAGGACATTGAAACCTACAAAATTGCTGGAATTATGGACTTGGCTGTCAACTGTGCAAGTTAAGGCAACTTCATGTCAAGACAGTCACATTCTAGGCCTTTATATTTTTGTGCACCTGGTGTACACTGCAAATTAAAAAAAAAAAAAGCCCTAAGTAGATTCACTAATTCTATTAAATTCATTGATTGCATATGTGCTTAAAAATGAGATACATTATTTTTATACTAATATTATTGTGCTTTCTTCTGCAAAAGGGGTAATAGCTGTTCTAAAATTTCCTTGTTCTGATTATGGTATTTCTTAATATTTGGTTTTAAAAAGACAAGACTTAAAATATAATTAGTTTTTTAAAGTATTAAATCTGCTTCAGTTTCTCACAGAAGAATTATTCCATTTCTCACTTAAATTATAAGCCTGTGATACAGTATGTACACTTTTATGTTTGTTCCTATTTTCTTTTTTTATTGACAGTACAAGAAATTTGAACGCTTTAAATATAATTTATTATAATATAAATAGAATCAAGAGTTACTTAGCATTCTGCTCATAGCTGAGAATAACACCTAGCTGTTGTACCGCTCTGTAATTCAAAATTTCTAGTAACAACTTGTGGTAACATGTTTTAAGTTCAAAGTGGTAATCAATTCTTTGTGTGCTCAGTGACTAAGTTGGCAGTCACCAAAAGCAATTAGTGAATTGTGGGAAGGTCACACAGTTGGTGTAAAATGCAATACTCATCATCATGTTGATATTGCCAACAGATTTAATTTTTTATGCATTCCAATTGGGTGCACATATTTTAATAGGTTTTTATTATCTTCCTGTAAGAATTACAGTGTAATTTGTCAATTTTTCACAGCTTGTAATTTTAACAAAAGGAAATGAATAATCTTCTTGAGAGATGGAATTCAGTGCAATATTTTAAAACGTTTTTCAGGAGTTTTGCAACAATGTATGATGAAACTTTTCGTGACCATGCTCTGTTTTATCTGCGGTTTCTAAATGTACGTTTAATAATCTGTTCTTTTTGCCATTTCTAGACTTTGACAGTTCAAAACTTTTGCTTGGCAGATTGATGAAAATTCATTATAAGTTCATAGTACTTCATTTAACCTTGGCAATGGAAGAAGTCCTAAGTTGGTTAATTGAGCTTTGGAAATCAGTTGTGATGACAAAACAATATGCCAGGTGGCGTAAGGAATTGGATAAAAGACCTGGAAATGGTTGATTTGGTTGAATCCTGTAGGGGGTATATTACTCACGTTCATGAGAACATCCCAAAATTTGGATTTATAATAAAGTACAAATCTCAAAGCGTACGATTATGTTTATAAATGAACAAATTGTAAAGAATTATTTCTATACTGTCCTTAAATCTAAGGCTGGCATTTCAGATCTTTACTAAGGGGCTTATTTTTTTTTTTGTAAATGGTTTCAGGATGCTGTTCAGGTGTTGTTAAAGCATTCAGCAGATGTCAATGCTCGTGATAAAAACTGGCAGACACCGCTACACATAGCAGCTGCAAACAAAGCTGTGAAGTGTGCTGAAGCTTTGGTGCCTCTCCTAAGCAATGTAAATGTGTCTGATCGAGCAGGCAGAACTGCATTGCATCATGCAGCCTTCAGTGGACACGTTGAGGTAAAAGTTAATTTTCTTAATTTGTTTTCCACTCATCATTCTGTCCCTCACATTTCTGACGTTTAGTTTCTCAGTTTAAAATCATGTCTCCCTCATCCCCTCAAAAAAACCCAAGTCCTATTTTGTATTTGAATTTGTCTTTTGTTTGCATCTCTGTACAGAACAGTTGTGGAAAATAAATGTTACATCATCAAGTTGGAAGGTTATTACATATTTCACTTTTCTTATGACAGAAGCAAATTTGCTAAGTAGAGTTAAACTAGTAATGGGTAAATTAAAAATGGAAAACCCAGGATATTTTTCTATTCAGTAAATAGTGAACATATGGAAAGTGATGTCACTGAAATGTGGAGAAAATACATGTAATAAGCTCTAACTCGCCTAATATTGAAGCTTTGAAAAATGACTGTTGAGAAATTCCCATTAATTGCATGTAGGTAATTGGAGACACATTGGAAATTGGCTTGCTTTTGGGGATTAGCTTTAGTGAATCCCTTAGTAATAACCTGAAGATTTGAAAGATTTCACAGCTTTGCTATATTAAACTGAGAAATGTTTTTGTTGACATGAAGTTTTGTGTTCCTTACAGTTGCTTCATTATTGTGCCAGGGTGTGGCAGCCAGTTTTTTCAAGCTTATGGAATATTCAAAACCCAGCATATTTAAATCCTTTAGAAACACATGTATTTAGAAACACATTTCTTCTATGATTTTCTTTTTCTAAGCAGAGTTTCCCATTATGAATAAAAGAATTTCTCTTCTTTATTTTAGATGGTCAGTTTACTGTTGTCTAGAGGGGCCAATATTAATGCATTTGACAAGAAAGACAGACGAGCTATACATTGGGCAGCATATATGGGTATGTACATATTTCAGTTGATTACCATTTTGGTAGTAAAAAAAAAAAGTCACCTAATGTTTAGTGGTTTTATGTATTTCTAGGAAAAATTTGCATTGTAAGCATTGAGGTTATTGTGTGTCTGCCAGAAAACCATTAACAGTATAGATCAAATTGCCTTGTAAATGTGTTTTTTGTGCTAAGAAAAATCAATTTGTTTGAGTAAGAAAAGTGAGGTAGGTAATTTTGTTCTTTAAAAAGGAGGAACTGTGTTCTTCAATCAGAGAGTCTAATCACAGGTGAAAAATTTTGCAGTAATACTAAACAAAAAGTAAACAGTTAATACAAGGGGCACCTGAATCCAACCCTGGGGGTTGGATTTCAAAAGAATATTTCATCGCTGAAACTGCATATTCTTGCCTTGCCATTCTTATTCCAGGAATGGATAATTATTATTCTCATGGCCTTGATCAATGCACTAGCAGTACTGTCAAGGTAATGTACTTCATTGTCTTTTATCAGACTTGAAAAGACTTGAATGTGCCAGTGAATTATGAAGTGATCATCACAATATTAATGCTCCTAACTTATAATTTGAAGCTGGATGGTATTGCACTTCAGATACCAGTTCTTGAAACCCCAGAAGTTAAAGAGCATTTTTCGTTATTGATCCAACATGCTTTGCAATATTTTGTATTAGTATTTTTCATGTACTTATATCTGCAAAGCAACATCTGTGACAGGCTGTCCAACCACCTTACTCAAGGTTGTTATTTGCAGAATTTTGTTGAGTGAAATCTGTGCATGAAATGGCAGAAATCTGACAAGTGTCAGTGAGAGGACAGAGACATTTTCTTGTTTGTGCTTACCTAGATGAGGGAAAAGTCTTCTGTTTTTCAGATAAGCTACATTTATGCCAATTTTAGTCAGTGCTATTTCATAAGCTACCAACAGGAGTGTTTGGGCAGGAAAAATTTAATTTAACTGATGTTGATCAACCTAAATATCCTTGTAGACAACAGAGTAGAAAAAACTTTAAAAGTCTTCAATAAAAGAAAAAAAACCTGTGACATTCTCTTTTACAATTTAGAGCCATTGTACCTTGCTCCAGTTGTTTGAAGAAAACCTTTAAAGCTTTTCAACCGAGTAAAACTGACCACAGAATAAAAAAGTTATGCTTGTCGTCATTCTACTATAAATAACTTCCTAGGGTTATATCCATTGTTTCCCTTCCTTCCTGCTTTTCACCCAGCTCCGTTGCTGTCCAGCTGCAATGCTGTGACTGAAATGGACTAACATTCTTGTTGCTCTCATTAACAAATTGGGATGTCTCTGCAGCACTTCTCACCTCAAGTATGTTGGTCTTCTGTTTGAGAGTCTTCCACTGATTGCTGCTTGTGTTTTCAATGCAGGTCAGGGGGTTTTTTTTGGTTTTATCTTCTCTTTAAAGTTCTTTCTGCCACTGTTCCACTCAGTCTCTCTATTCCTTTCACTCCTTTCAGTATCTTCTGTATTTCTGTCTCTCATATAGGGCTTGTTTTCATTCCTGTCCCCATTTTATTTGGGTCAGAAGATGAGTATCATGTTTGCATTTCTCTGTCCCTTCTTTCCTACAATACTGAAGTAGTTAAGTGAACTATTGCATCACTTCACATTGCACTGGTAAACTCTTATGGTTGTGATCGGTATAACTGGGTAAAATGGTGTTTTGTGTGCTGTTGGACATGCAGCGTAAAATAAGTATCATGGTGGCTGAATGTTTATAAAAATAGCTTTGTCTGTATTCTATTGGGTAGATACTTCCTATTCAGACTTTTGCAAATTCTCTTAAAAAGTGAAGACCCTCACTTTTTATGAAGTGCTTAAGCTGAAAGCTGGACTTGATACTTTCTACTTAGATGTCTGACTGAATAAGTATAAGAATTCAGTATGCCCCCCCCTCACTTCTTTAACTAAGGTAAGGGTGTCACTTGAAAGGCAAAACAAAGAATCCCACATCTGTCTGTATGGGTCAGTTACAAAGGCAAAGCACTAAGTGTATCGTGGTCTGTTAAAGTCATGTACTTTATTCAACAGACTTTGTCATGATTATCCATGTGTTTTCAGTGATGACTTTTTTGGCAGTTAAATTAACAACAGAGCAAGAATGACAGATTTTTTTGGTTACCCCATTTTCATGGCTTCTTAGCGGGCGGTGTCACAACTGCCTACAAGGCAGTGGAAAGCTCACTGCCCTTTGCAGCAGTGGTGTGGTGTTGGGGCCCCTGGCCCAAAGCTGGCAGTGAGAGCTACTGCCCACCACTTCAGGGTGGGCTCCCTGCCTTCCCTCCCCTTTTCCAGCTGGAACTTCCCCCTGGTCATCCCTTCCTCGTGATCCGAACTCGACTCTTACCCTCCTCTCATTGTCTTAGGAGAGCAGTTAATGCTTTCAAAAGGCTACGGTTCCTTCTTGGATTGTCTGAGTCAGTCTTGAAAACAGGGCTTTGCTAAGTCCTGTATAATTTGGTTCAAGATTTTAAATGCTTTGCAAGTAAAGGAAGTTGGATTGGGGGAGATATGTTTTTATGTCAAAGTAGAATATTTTTTTCTTTTCGTGTTTGCATAATTTTTTCAAAGTTTCTGCTTAAGATTTAGAAACCTTAGCAGGCATGTTTGCAATTGAGGTGAGAGTGGAAATCTGACAGTCACACTGTCTCTCAAGTTGGTAACATAAATTTGCAGTAAATGTTTAATAATTGCAAAGTGACTTTGCCTCTCTAGTTCTCAAGTCTTCAGAAAAATCCTGCTGTGTAAGCAGAAGACAAGATTCTGTTTTGAATATACAAATTTATTTTTGCAGTATAAATGCTGTGATTGTTGGATGTGGTATGTGGAGGTGATTAATGTTGCTTTTATAGGTCATGATAGAATTAGAAAACAAGAACAATTCTTTGTTTTCCACATGAGGTCAAAATGAATAATGTCTTGATCATGTTATAAGAATCGTAGAATTATTAAGTTTGCAACCCTCTACTGGTTAATAAAAAATGATGCTTTATTTTATTTGTCTTTGTTATTTTAGGTCATATTGAAGTTGTGAAATTACTCGTGACCCATACAGCTGAAGTGACATGCAAAGATAAGAAATCATATACACCCTTACATGCTGCAGCATCTAGTGGGATGATCAGTGTAGTCAAATATCTTCTGGATCTTGGCGTTGATGTAAGGAAAAATAAAACTGACACATTTTTTTATTGTTTGAAATGCTTTTGTTAGTACTATAGGACACTGTTTATTTAGGGACAGGTTATGGTGTAGTGAAAGCATGTGAATGAAGATCTCTGGAAATACTTTTTCTGTTATAAAACCACATTCTTCCAGGTAACTTAAGAGCCTTGTAGATTTTGCACAATAATGTGAAAATAAATGTGTATTTAGTAGAGTTTTTTTGTTTGATATTTCTTGGTCTTAATTCGTTGGACTTGAAGTCAGGAAATAGGAATTCCGATCCTAGCTCTGCCACACAATCCTTTTTGAAGTGCAGGAAATTAAATGTTTTTGCTTCAGTTTGTAAAATATAGATGTTACTGACTTTCTTATGTCACTTAAATTTTGGAAAATACTAAAAATGGTGAGAAACTTCCAAAACCAGAGTAAGGCCATATTAATATTCAAATGCAAAATAAATTAAAAGGCTCTACAGTACCTGCGCATAGAAAGCATCTTAACAATAAACTCTGAAACTGTGTAAGAAATCTGCATTGTGAATCACATTTTAGCCTTGCAAGGCTGGAGATTGCAGCTCAAGTTCTTTATTGAGAAGTAAATCAGAATTCAGTATCATGTTGTGTACAACAACAAATTCAATTTCTATACAGACCCGTACACCCCCCTCGGGAAAAGTCTCTATGACCTATGTTTTTAATGAAAACTTGCAAATGCTGTTTTATAGAGGTCTGTGCTATGCTTTGTAGTATGCCACTGTTGACATTTTTGGCATGTGCGTCTTCTCTTAAATTGCACACAGGAAACTGGTGCGGAGACAATTGCAGGAGGTTGGCTCACTTGTAAGGCAATCATGCTCTTCCCCAGGACACACATCTTGATCAAAGTGCTACACCCAGAACTTGCTTTTAATTTCTGGTTTTAAGAGTTTCAAAACATAATCTCATGACATGAGATCTTTCTTTGTTAGAATTAAATGCTGCATTAAATACAGTTTTCTGCCTACTAACTAATCTTGGGGTTTGTTTTTCTCTCAGATGAATGAACCAAATGCCTATGGAAATACTCCTCTCCATGTAGCTTGTTACAATGGGCAAGATGTTGTAGTGAATGAACTCATAGACTGTGGTGCTAATGTAAATCAAGTAAATGAGAAGGGGTTTACACCTTTGCACTTTGCCGCTGCATCAACACATGGAGCATTGTGTTTAGAGCTTTTGGTCTGCAACGGTGCAGATGTAAATATAAAGGTAGGTATATCCAAAGGCACCCATTCACACCTAAAGATGCAGTACATCTTTATCAGAGATAGTTTTTTCAAAAATATTTGTTATGGTAGCATTTTAGAGGTTCCCACTGATAGATGGAGTACTTGTATGAAAAGTACTGTTGTAAAAATGAGCCGGTATGTTGCTTCAAGGAACTTGATCAGAATATCAAAACCTCAGTGGGATGTATTAAATGGCCCAGAAGGATAAAGAAGAAGGATGACGATACTGTTTGCTCAATCTTGATTACATTTAAATGTCAGAATTCTGTATAATTTGTTTTCCCTAGTCTAGCCATGTAAGTAAAAGCAAATATTTTGAAAAAATGCAAAAGAATATGTTTTCCTTATAAATAAGTAACATGAACGAAACCAAGGGTATTTCAGAGAAATGTGTATGAACAGGCTAATCACTGGAGCAGTTGAAGGGCCGATAATGTAAGATCCTAGAATAATTAGTCAGGCAGATTTGGGAAGGGTGTATAAAAATACAAATATAAATAGATCAGGCCAATGGAAAGGTTTAACAGCTGGTGTTTTAATTACTCCAGCAAAACTTGGTAAGCAAAATCGGTATACCTTTTACATCTGTACTTGGTTGCAGAATATTCCTTATAATCTAGTATTGTAGGCAGAATTTCTAATACACACAAGCATAAAAAACAAGCTATAACCTTTATCTTTTATTGTCTTCTCTAGTGTGTAGTGTGAAGTCTTGAGATGTGGGAGAGAGATATGAGACCTCCTATTTTGTATTACATTGATTTTTATTCTGGTAAAGAAAATTTAAACTCCATTCAGAAATATTTAGTGGCAGTATCTGATGTCTTGACAGGTTTTGGGCTAGGGTGATGGAATGAAGAGTCCAAGTGTTCCTTATGCAGAATGTCTAATTGCCTGAACTATCACCCACATGTGGTAGGAAGAGAATTATCTGTCCTCTTGTTTCTTAAAAGTTTGATAGATTTATGCTTGAATTTCAACACAATCTGGTCAGGAGGTGAATGTTAGAATAGCTGACATTTCTGTTAAAAATCTTGATGTTTGTTGTTCACTTCACGGAAGCAGTGATTTTCACAATGATTCACCCTGATTTTCAGCTAACTAGTGGTAAAATATATTTTTGTATCTATTGTTAGCACAAAACCTATAGTCAACTGAAAATTTGGGAGTAGTTTGAAAATAAGCTCTTTGATGTGGAAAAATCTTAGATGTATGTTCCTGCTCACTGTTACATATATTTAGATGTGTGGCTCATTTAATGCAAATGTACATAACACAGTTGTGGAAAAATTAATCACCAAAGTGCCCCGCAGAAGTAAGGAGCTGTGTCACAGGGTTTATTTCTCACTTGCCCTAAAATATCCAGGTCACAGTCTGTTTATTTTTGCTGCCAGCTTTCTGCTCTGCATAATGTCCCAGACTGGATAAGACCGAGTGTTCAGTGTTGCAGCATTGGCTGACTTCTGTCCTACATTCTTGAAACATCATTTCTCAGAAAGATGTGGTCTGCCATGAAAATAATCCCACAATGTTAAATATACTAGTGATTATATATGTATGTTACTTAGACAAATAAGAACAAAGGAGACCTTACAGCACCTTCTAGGGCCTACAAGAAAACTGGAGATGGACTTTGTACAAGGGCATTTCATGACAGGACAAGGGGGAATATCTTCAAACTTAAAGAGAGTAGGGTTAGATTAGATATTAGGAAGAAATCGTTTACTGCAAGGGTGGTGAGTCACTGGAACAGGTTGCCCAGGGAAGGTGTGAATGCCCCATTCCTGGAAGTGTTCAGTGCCAGGTTGGATGGGGAGTTGAGCTACTTAGTCTAATGGAAGGTGTCCCTGCCCATGGCGGGGTAGTTGTAACTAGATGATATTTAAGGTCTCTTCCAACCCAAACCAAACCATCCTTTGACAAATATTACCAAGCCAAGAACTACTGTCTTTCTGTATACAGGGTTGCAAGGGTTCATAACTTTGTGTATATTTCTGACTTAAAAGAAAGAAGTAAGGAGGGCTCCATTTCAGAAAGAGCGTTAGTAGCTTTAGCTGTAGGTTGTTGTAATTAAAATGCGTTGGTTTAGTACGTATCAAAACAGTTAAGTCCATAATTAAGCAAGTAGGACTGTATAAGGATTTTAAGCTTGAAAACAGCATTTATCCTGTTTCCTAAACAAAGTGTTTCCATTGTAATTCTTTTAATAGCATTTCTGTGTATTTATACCAGTATGACAGAATTTGGCCTGTAAATTTGCACCTGAAGGTGTGAACAGCCTTACTTGGTATATGAAAATTTATCACTTGCACTGTTGAAAAGTGCAAGAACTGGGGCAAAAGAAAATAATTTCTAAGTTAACTTCTGCTTCCCTGGAAAGGCCTATAAAGATAAATGTTGGATTAACCAGTCCTTCAAAAAAAACCTAGTATGTTGTGTAGATAAGAATAAATTGTGGAATTAAAATGAGATGGAATTAGGGCCTTCTTACTAAGTATTTAGTGAAACCAGTGTTCTGTTCTGTTTCCAAATACTGAGGTTTAAGTTCAAAGTAGTTCTTAAAATGGTTATAAGATCTATTTTTCATCATAATTATATTGCTTGTGTAAGCTGGTTCAATAGTTTTGTCCCATGTGCAACTGTTTCTGTGTTGTTAGAGGTAATAGGGGTTATGAGTGGCAATCTGGGTGCAGACTAGACAGTACTATTAGAGCACTTTCTGCTGTGAGTGGCAGTGGGGAGAGCAAAAGGGAAACACTCTTATTCCTGATGGCAGATGGAGGGTAAGTTCTTGTGCGTGTCTGTGAGTGCTGGCCTCATATGGAGAACAGATTATGTGGCAGAAGATAATAGAACAGTAGAAATATGTTATATGCTTTTTATCACCTCTGTTGGCAGAGGACATAATTTCCTGCTTGTTTTCGTAGCCTTGGCAATGTCCACTGTGGAACAGTGAATCTTGTTACGTATTGCTCATTACTGCAGCCCTCTCTCCTCACTATTCAGGATTTCCATGCATGGAAGAACACATTGAAATGAGTATGTAATGGGACAGTATTAATTGTTTTATGGGCCCCTTTGCTGCTTGAAAGTTTGGTGACCTAAATAGAAAAAGTTTTTTACTTGCATTGGTGGTACTAGAACAGAAGAACTGTTGCTAGGGTGAGATTTCACTTGGAAGAATGCTGCGACATGATAGACCCACATTTCCCTTGACCCTCAGAAGTCTCGAGTACATTTAATATCTGAGTAATCACTCAATAGGACACATTATGCTGTGTGTTATTTCTGACAACAACTACTGTTCTTGGCAAATTGTTCTTAGCAAAAAAAAATTACTCAAAGTATTTTGTGTATATGTTTTCTGTAGTGATAGAGGAGACTTGGGTGATATCTTTCCTATTACCATGTTTAATTGAGGTTCACTGAAGACAACAAAAGTTAGCAATAGCCCACAGCTGTTCTGTCGTGTGCTGTGATCCTGGCTGACCTCATAAAATCACACAGCTGTAGTTAGATTGATATTTAGATAGAAGGCCTTAAAGGCATAAAGAAAGGGAAATTGGAGCAAAAGTTCTGAAGATACCTATCTTCTTATGCAGTCCAACCTCCTGGCATCTCAGGAAATAGTGCTTTGCTCAATAAATAGCGCTTTCCTGTTTCATTGCTTGAAGAAATAGTTGGCTACTGGTTCTGACTCTGTATATCCTTCCCTAGTGACAATGTCTTAGAGGGGAATTCTGAATGCAGTCCTATACCTAGCAGTTTGGCTTCAACATGGGAATTATCATCTTCATTTAATTTTATACCAGTTCTGTGTTTATATGTTGATAGACAATTGTGTGTTATATTATTCCTGGGCTGTAAAGGAATATGAGACTTATACATGAGAGAGGCACTGTGGACAATCAAATCTATTGTCTTAGAAATCTATGTTAAGTGGATTGGATTTTTAAGTAAATTTGAACAGAGTAAATCTATAAATCTGTTATTGATGGTGCTGTGGTTTTTCATTTACAACTGGAAAACGATTTTGTAGTTTATTTTGCTGTTCTTTGCAAGATCTCCCTGAAGTTGTCTTGTGAGGGTTCTCACTTGATGACCGTGCTCTTTAGTTTCTGATACTGTCACCTTAAGTTAGTCTTATGTCCTTGTAAGGTACTTTATTAATGTACTGACTGAGACTTGAATCTACTTTTTTTTCAGCTCCAACTCCATCTTCTTTCTTTTCATTAGCCTTCCTTTGAGATACAGATTTATTCCATCTGAGCCAGTGAGACTGCAGGCTACTTTATCTGAGCCCTGAAGTTCTTCTGTCTGTTGCTTCCCTAAGCTTATTTTATGTGATAATTTTTCTTTAAATGAATAGATTCTCCAGGTTAAAGAAGGAGAAAAGTAAGGGAAAGAGACATCAGATGTGTAACAGTTGTTTTAAAGGAGGAAAGTAATTGGACACAGAGAATGTTAATGGTTGGATAAAGAGAGGAGAACTAAACCATAGGGAGAAAGATGAAAGAAAATCAGAGCATAGAGATTGCTTGGGGAAGATGTCACTTATGATGTGTTTGGCCTTTTCTTAAGGCCTCCGATGACAGAATTAAAATTGATTGTACAATTGACCCCATTTTCGGTGTTTATTTGCATCTGCTATGATATGTGGATGTTGTCTTTTGGATTACTTATGGTCAAAGAAATCTCTAGCTGAAAGATGTGGAGATAACTTGACTTTCATTATCAAGTTTTATTTCTTTCAGTCTAGGTCTGAGAAGACAATGTTTTCCATAATAGCATTGTTGTAGGTGGTGTATGCTGCTCTGTGCAGTGACAAAACTGAAAATTCCACGTCCATCTTTCCCTAAAAGGGTCTCCAGCAGACTTTCAGTAACACATCCGTAGAAGCTTTGTCATTTGATTTCAATGGGAGAGTAAAGGTGGGAAGTCACTTCTGCACATGACAGCAATTTGTGATATTTCAATGCATATGTTCATATTTTATCTTCCCCCTACCATCTCTGTCCTTCTTAACTTTGTGTTTTATGAACATTTCACACTCTTCAAAGCCAACATTTAAAATTTAAAGATGCGGTACACATGTGAATTTTAAGAGTCCTTTTATTTTCTTGTCATGTTTGCAATTTTTTGTGTGCATTTGGAGGAACCTTTTTCTGAAGTAAAGCTTCCCCATTACCTGTGAAAAAGTACAAGGGGAAAATCATCCTAAACTAATAATAACAGAAAAAATGGATTTGTAACTGCATTGAGATTGAGCTGTTAAAATTTGAAGTTTCCTTATGCATTACTGTTGGCCTACTTAAAGGATATCTTTACTGGGTGAATGAGTAAGTGCACATTTAAGATGTGCATTTCAAATGTATAGTACCAATTAGGGTTGAATAGTTTTACCCTGGGATAACTTGTGGTTTATGATAAATTGCTTACAAACATCCCTTTACAGAAATTACCAAGAAACACATGAGCTTTTTATCTTCTAATGTAATGTGTAATTTACTCTGTGTAATTCACTCTGTAGGAAATACAGCTACTTTCTTTCAAGAAACAAACTTAAAGCATTGTTTTATTTTAGACTTGGGCCGGGGAAGAGTTGGACATAGGCTTTTTGCTAAAGTTGTGTGCTGTCATCATCCTCTTGAGAGTTATCTTAAAGACATAAGTGTGAGTGAGTGGGCATCACTGAGTTGTCACTCACAGCTGGAAGAGTGACTAAGTGCAGCTCTTGTGAAAAGCTTGCTATGTCTGTCATGCTGACTTGTCATTGCCAGTATCTGTCTGACAGAAGTGCATAGAAACAATTTAAAAATTTAAAGGATGGAATAGAGGGGAAACAAGAATGAAAACAACATCTTTTTTTTTTTTTTGTCAGTTCTGATGGATTACTCTTATTGGCCATAAGTAAACACAGGGGTTGTTTTTTTCTTTTCCAGAGTAAAGATGGGAAAACACCTTTGCACATGACAGCCATCCATGGTAGATTTTCAAGATCCCAAACCATCATTCAAAATGGTAAAAAGGGGGAGGGAGCAGTTCTGTCATCAGCTTTCCAGTATTACAGATATTTTCGTCCTCTTGTATGGGTAGCAATGTACAAATTTTTTTTTCAGATGCAGTGTCCAGTAACAGACACTGGTGGCTCTGGCATACCTGCTTATAAATTTTGATAAGTTACACTGAAGAACTGTTTTTCTTTCAGAATGCAGGAAAATATATAGATTTCTCTTCCTGGGTTGTAGAAAGTTTGTCCCATATGGTTTCATAATACAGTGCTTTTCTCTATTTTTTTTGTTATAACTACCTAATACAACTGAAAGCTCTGTAGGGTTTAAATCCAAAGTAGTTATTCATTGACTATTATTAATGTCCCTCAAATTATCATCAGTGCTGTTTTTCTAACAAAGGTGTCTGTATGCCTACATATATTCTTACTTAGTAATTACTTTTTATTATAGGAGCTGAAATAGACTGTGAAGATAAGAATGGAAATACGCCTTTGCACATAGCAGCTAGATATGGCCATGAGCTATTAATCAACACACTGATTACGAGTGGTGCTGACACTGCAAAGTAGGTAACTTTACTGACATGAATGCAAAACTGAGAGGATTTAGAAATGTATTTACTATAGTAACAAGACTAGTATGATTTTTAATATCATCTTCAACTTGAAATAGGATTATCCTGTACTGTACTTTAAAGTAGCTACTCAGTACATCACAGTTTGTACCAAGAAAAAGAGAAATAGATTTTCCTTTTATGTATTTGAAGTAAAATCTTTGGAAGTTTTAATAGGCTATTGTACTGATTTAGTGCATTCTGATAGCTTGTAAGAAAGCCTTTGATATGTGAATTTAGCTCAGTATTCTAATTAGGTGGTTTGCTAAATCCACGATGCATGTGCACTTTGCACACAATCATGTTTGTTTTATTTTACTTGTAATGAAACTGTGATACCTGATTATGGTGTATCTTAGGCGGGGTATACATGGGATGTTTCCTCTCCATTTGGCAGCATTAAGTGGATTTTCAGACTGCTGCAGAAAGCTCCTCTCATCAGGTAAGACACTCTTTTAAATTCTTATATGTGTTTTGCACTTCGTTCTTTATTTCACAGAGTAGCTTTTAAATAAATCTTAGTTTAGTAATACATAAAAATCTTTATAGTTTACTAGTAACCTGGTGCTTGTTTTTTAATGGACAGTCCAGAGTTAAAGTTAATGCAAACGTTTGCAGAAGTAATTAAAAAAAAATCATCCAAATTGTAATAATGTGTTTGTAAGTTTTTTAATGTTGTGTTTGTGCATTTTGAGTTGGCTACAGAGGTGAGATGACTGGCTCAGACTATAATGAAACTTCAAGGAGAATGATGTTCTGACTTCATAGAGCATCCTCCTATTTCTCTTCCATGATGTTTTTAGCTTTGTACAGATCAGTCTATTCCTACCTATTCCCAAAGTGGGCCCCTGATAGCTCTGAAGACTCTGTGGACTGCTGCATTAAGAAGCTATTGCATTGTTGGTGTGTTGTTAATCACAGGCAATGCAAACTGCTCTTTTCCTTCATTGCTTGACTCCTCCCTGAAGTTGTGGAGGTTGTAAGGTCATTACTTCCCTTGTTGGCCAGAGTCTGATGTGAATTCTAAGCTCTTTGAACCATTACAATTCTGAGAAAGTAGATTTGTCCAAAGGGAACTTCAGGAACAAAAGAAAAGTAAGAATAAACTAAATGCTTCTTTATTAATCTGAAGACACTTAAGTTTTTTTGAAAAAAGAAAAGTGGGGAGGAGAGAGTTGGGGAAAAGGAAAAGTAACAAGTTGCTTCCCCAGCTTTATATTGTTTGTTAGGGAAGCCTGGGAGAAGAACTATAAAGGAATATAACTAAAACTACCTACTGGTAAGGCTTTTTATTTACTGTCCTGTCCTGGGCAAGCTTGCAAGGATTCACCCCAGGAAAGGACTGTCCAATAATTGACAATATTTCGATTGGATGTGTTGAAAATGAGGGATATTCTGGCTCTTTCAAACATGATGTTATGCTGGTTGTGCCCTTACTAGAAACTCAGTATGGCAAAGGAAACCCTGCAGAAGACTTGCAAGTGATTTCTGTGAGTTTTACATGAGTTGAGCAAACTTGGATGTAAATCTAGCCTGGAGCAGATATGAATATGTTCAGCCTTCAGGCTGGAAAGACCGGATACTGCTAACAGCATGTTAGCATGTGCTGTTGATGTGGAGATTGGTATCTGCAGACGATGTGCCCCTCTTTGTTTTGGGAGGAAAAGTCTCCTTTCTGTAAATTAAGGATCTCTGATTTTAAAATTAATTAATATTCATGTGCAGACCTTAACAAAACACCATTCTTCCTTGTTCCAGTACTGCATGACATTTAAGTAGTTTTTGTTGCGGACAAGCAACCTGTGAAAAAACATCAAAGGCTACTTTTCAAATCAAATTAGTAAACTTTTAAATTGTTTGCCATATAGAATTGCCTATTGAAATGAGAGGAGAACATTGTGGTGCCTACAAAACCTGTTTTATGGGACATGGAGTAGGAAAACAATCTTGAAATAATAGCACGCTTGGATAAGATATCCTGTGGTGTTCATTACTTATTGTTGTTGAACAGTTCTTAAAAAGCTAAAAAAATTGCCAGGTATCCCAGGTACGAAAACTGGAGATTGAATGAATAAGTTACATTACACAAGAGCAAGACTTTTAGGAGAGTATAGCAGTTCTTTCAAACCAAAAATGTAGCTTTGAAACCTAATTTAAATATTAATCTTTGTGTTAAAATATATGGTTAGATATGAAATTGCAGTTACATTTTTTTGATCCCTTTGTTTTATTTAACTGCCTGTTTTTCAAAACCTTGCAAATAGCAAGGACATGTTTCAAATGAAGTAATTTTTAATGCTTGAGTGCTTTTTTGCAAATAGGTGTTAAGTTTGCTTAGCAAGCATTTCTCTTAGCAGTAGATGACAGCAGTTTTGTGAAAGGTGATGTTACATAATGATTTTACAAAATATTTGTTTTGTAGGTTTTGACATTGACACACCAGATGACTTCGGCAGGACTTGTCTTCATGCAGCTGCAGCTGGAGGGTATGCAACAAAGCATTCATGCTTTCATATTTATTGTTATTTTTTCAATTCATCGTTCCTGCTCTTTTTTTAGTAGTTCCTCTCTGTGCTCCCCTTGGAATTTATGTAAAGATGAAAATAATTTCAAGATGGATTCTATCTGCAATCAATACAAATAAATTAACTATTCAGCTCAATAAGTAATTGCTGGAGTACAGTGTCCAGGTATCATCAGCCTTACCTTAGGTTTATGTTTGGGGATGAAATTACTTTTTTTTTTAATTTCCATGGATGATTATATCATTTTTAGAATTTACAGTATTGAAAAATGGCATGCCCACCTCAAATCACGTAGAACATGAGGTGGAAAACAGCAACTTTGGGAAAATTGTTTTTACCATAAACAAAAAATAATCTAACTAAATTAAAAGCAATAATTAAATTCCAGAGTTTGGGTGGATGAAGTAGTCAGAACTACTTGCTCATCACTTGTGATCCATATTGATTACTGTTATTGTATTGTAGATTTTCTATAGCACCTACTCAAAATTGCCTGGAAGAATTGGGTAATAAATTTCCTGACACACTCTGTGGGACACAGGAACTCCATGATATTGATATTTTCAGTTTTCTGTTGGAATGTTGTTTAAGTAATAATGTAAAGTAAGCATTCCAAGTCAAAAGCTACTTGATAGATACATTCTTGTTGCAAGTGATTAAGGTTAAAATGCTGTCTTTTCATATGAAAACACGTAATTTGTGACACTTTCTCTCATTCATCTCCAGTTTAGGAAAGTTACCAAGGTAGTGTTTAAACAATTAACAGTGTTGTACATCTATTACGATGATCATATTTTATTGAAAATTGATTACACGGAAAAGTAAAATATTTATGTTGTAACTTGTACTTGGCCTTAAAAAACATGCAGTAAGAACTTGCCTCTGTGCTGGAATCCTGGTAGCAAAAAGCGTGTGACATGCAGGTGTTATTGTTTGTTTGTTTACAAGAATTGAAATTTTTTATTGAATTACATTCATGTTTATGTGCTTTATGCATGCTATTTGATATCAGTAAAATTTATATATATGTGGTCTTGATGTAATTTATATTCTTTACTGATTTGGTCCAGCAATTATAAAATCTGGTTTACATGCAGAAATGTATTTATCAAAAATTTCATATTATAACATATGAGATGTACATGTGTAGCAGTTCTGATATTCATAGAGGCCAATACTAAGTAAAATTTGCAATCATGAGTAATAGTGCATTAATTTAATAGGAATTTGGAGTGCCTAAATCTTCTGCTAAATACTGGTGCAGACTTCAACAAAAAGGACAGATTTGGAAGGTAAGACATTCTAGATTTGTATTCTGTAAAGGGCTGTTAAAAGTACTGCAGAAGTAGCATATTGCTGTGTGGGCAAGTCTGTGTGTTCCAGGTTAAATGTTTTTTAAGATACAATGTCTCTAATAAACTGTGCTTCAACATCAGAAATCACAAATATAGTTTGTTTATTGTGTTTTGTTAAGTAGATGTTTTGTCTTGTTTTTAAAGACTGAGTTTTGTATTCAACTGTAACTTTTATGTGCCTTTTTTTGCTTATAATGTGGATCTTGTGTGTTTAAGTTGCTCTCATCCGAGGACATTAGTAATGTTTTCCAAATAACGTATTAGTCAAATCTATAAATCTGTTGCTATTTCTAAGCTTTTTTATTAAAATACTCATTATTTTATTATAAGTGCTTCCCCTTTTTCCTTTCATTATATCCATCCCTTTCTGTTTCCCTGTTTAAGCTCTAAACCCTTTTGGAACGACATTCATTTCTATTCTTAGTACAGGATTATTTAAGTTCAGATGGCATGATCCGTACTTGTGTAAAATACCGTGTCACGTCATGGAAAATATGATTTTCCAGGATGTGAACAGCAGAAGTAGGAATTGAGGACAATGTTATGGATCCAAAGTTGTATTTTGCTTTAAATTCCACTTCCGTTATTTCCTGAGAAAGGAACAACTATCTGTCACAACTTATGTAATTGAAAGTTGTTTTTCTTTCCTGGTTTGGATTTTGGTTTAATGTGCATGTTATATAGAGCAATTATTTCATGAGATGGAAAATATTCAAGTAGTTTAAAATGGAGAGAAATGGGAAAAAGTAATATTAAGAGTGATGGAAGAGGTGGGACACTTTAAAGTGCCTGACTGTCTTCTTGAAATTGAGATATTTATAGCAGCAGTCTCTTTTTAAAAATAAAAGTGGAGTTCTGAGTCATCTTGATCCTTTTGAAATTTTAGCCAAACTAGTTTATTTAGAGAATTGTTTATGTATTTAAAGCTGTGAAAAGTTTTCTCTGAGATTATACATCAGTATTAATATTTCATGGTTTTGTTGTAAGAAGACAAGGTATATTTTAAATTTTTTCTTTCAATGACTCTGCTATGTTAGTATAGTTAAAAATAAATAAATAATGCTTTCGTCTCTTAGGCCAAATTCCAGTCTGTTTATTGTTGTATTTTACTTTTAATTCACTTAGTTGCTGTGCAGTTCTTTGATTTGTCCATATTTTTCCATGTGGCTTGAAATTACTTAACAGAAAATAATATTTCTAATGTAAACTTGATTTCCCTCTACAAGTTTACAAAAGAAAAATCATATAAAGCTTCCTTTAATACAAAGTTTATGCATATTTTGGCTGGCAAATAAATCCCCTAGATACTGTTCTGCATTATTAAATGGTCCCTAGAAAATGGCTCCATATTTTAATATTGCGTTCTTCACCACAAATACTTGTTTAAAAATGTAAGGAGGATTTAAGTTTCACTTTATTTTGCTTTTTCTGTCTCTATAATATTATTTTGCTGTTATTTACCATTGTACTTTTTATTTAAATGTGTACTAAAGAACTCCACTCCATTATGCTGCTGCCAATTGTAATTATCAGTGCCTGTTTGCCCTTGTGGGATCTGGAGCTAGTGTGAATGACCTTGATGAGAGGGGTTGTACACCTCTGCACTATGCAGCTGCATCAGACACAGATGGGAAGTAAGTGGCATACTTTGTACTAAAGCCTTTCTCATTAGGAACATTTGAGCTGTGAATGTCATGTATGCTCTGCCTTCAGATTTGCCAGATGCATTTTTTGTATTTTTAGAGATGGAACTTGACAATGTGTTGTTCATTGTATATAAAATACATTATGTAACAAATATTTCAGAGGGGGGAAAACGAACAATAGTAAAATGTATTGTAATAATTTTGTTATGTCCTATAATGGAGATGTCTTAATTCAGGAGTTCATTGGGAATAGAGATTTTAATCCCATCTGCTGTATAGTGGTTGGGTAAATATCTTTTGTGGGGGTTATTAAGACAGCTCTGAGCAGTAGAGTCATTTTGCTTTATAAACAAATTCTGATGAAGAATGGTGTTTTATGGAGTGTTCTTAATATTGCCCCAAAAATCTGCATAATTAGTCAGGAATGCACTGTGAAGCTAGACTGTGAATCACAGTAGGCCTACAGCAGGATATATATGAACTCATTATTTCAATATAAGATGCTTCTTCCATTTGTTACCTGATTAAAATAGTCCCGTTTGGCATTACAACTCTATCTCTTGAGAGCGAAATTTTTGTGATATAGTTACACTTTTACTAATGCAATGCATCCAGAATCTTTCATAAATCCAGAAATCTCTTACATATGTTTATTTTGTAACTAATGGTTATATTGTACATGCTTATTAATGCCCTAAAAGCTGTCATGCAAAGTGTATATAGTTAGCATAAAATTGATGAGGTTACTTAAGCTCCAGATATTACATATCTTGAGGATACTCGAGAAGAGCAGCACTTGCTTGTGCACACACTCATGTGAACTGGTCATGGTGTGCATTTCACATGCATACAGTGACTCCTTCACTGGAGAAGTGCTGCTTTGTGCCATTTTGTCTTGTTTTAATACAGCACCTTTTAAAAGGTGAGGTAGCAATAGGAATGAGGTGGCATATAACTTACACATTGGGTTCTGAAGGCTAAATAAAGAATATTATCGTGGCCATTTAACTTACATTTGAAGAACATCCCTTTTTTATGTAAAGCCAGATTTCAAACTAAAACTATTGCTTTTTAGATATACTTTCAACTCCTGCTGGAGTTTCCTGAGATAATTTTGCACTCTTACAAGTTGAGCTAGGATTAATTTTAGCTTCCCTGTTGCTCTGAAAACCTCCAAACTATAATGGTTCTTCAGATGACATCGTTTTGCCATCTGTCTTACAAAAGGCACAAGCGAAAATGGTGATGACAATACTGCAGAGCTTTGTGAGGTAACTCAAAGGATTGTCTGTGGGACCCACGTGGTATTGCCCTTCTGATTAACATTTGGGTCTCTGGAAGACAGGCTGCAAAGCAGAATGGCCTGAGGAGAAGCTTTTTATGTTGATGCAGCAAGATGATTAGTAACAGCTGGAAAAACAGTGCTGCTCAACTCATATTCAAAACAGGAATTAAGTTAAAATGATTATTCAGTTGGAATATAAAGCCTGGGAAAAAACATGTCAGGAAGCCATCTATACAGAAATTCCAAATGTAGTTGTGTGTGGTTTTACATTCTTTGTTCAGACATCTTTAAAGACGGAGTTTAGAGATGAGGATGTTTTTGTTGAAAATTGTATTCTGGTTTGTTCCAGTTTAGAAGTATTTCTTCTGTATCTTTAACAAATGCTTCTGATCTGGAACAAACACCAGTAAACCTCATTTTGACAAGATTAGAGAGAAAAACGTGATTTCAGAATGAGGTGAAATAAGCAGAATCTTAGGGGAGAAAAAAACCATGCTGTTTCTGTGTTAGAATTTTCTAATGGACAGTTCACCAATAAACATATGGGAAATAAATTTAACTTACCTGGGCTTTCAGAAAGTTTGATTAATCTCTTTTTTTAAGAGACCTGTTGAGGACAGTTAAGTATACAGAAGATGCAAAGTTGATCTCTTTCTTGAATGCAAAGAAACATCAAAAGTAATTGTCTGGTTTGCACTGAAAGAATGGGTACTTGAGCATTTTTAGTAGACTTAGCTTCCTGCATCATATTTACTGTATTGTGGGTTTTGTGAGCACACACATAGAGAAGGTACACAAGTGTAGAAATTTAGGTAGCCAAGGCCAATGACGTGTAACGTTTATTAATGAGCCATGAATTTTAACACAGAATCACTGATTAAAATTAACGAAGAAAGTTAGATGAGTGGACAAATAAAATGTAAGAACTGTGATTTTTACTTAATGAGACAAATTGACGTGTCTTTGAGTTCTCAGAAATCTCATCCCATTTTATATCAAATAAAAACATGCTAGCATGGTTGCCATTAAGGAAATCCAAGCATTTGTTTACTGGGCAAATAAAACATGAGTTAATTGGGTAAAAAACATAGATGTGCTTTACAGGTAGCTTTTTATTAGATATGCTGAACTTGTTGTAAAGTTACTTACATCTACGTTACATATGTTACTCTCTAAAACTCGGCATTTTTACCTTTTTCACTACCTGCTTAAGTCCTATTCTCCTTTATGCTGGGCACAAAATGATGAAAGTCAGACTGCACCTTGGCGTTGCTTCTGCTTGTCTCAACTTTTTAATGAGGCAGAGTCCTCTGTAATGAGACACTTCCTTGTTCATAGATTTTCCTGCAGCTTTTTGCCCCTTTAATCTTCACTCACCTGGTTTGTTACTTTCAACCTTTGTTTGCAAAGCAAATGTCAGGTCTTACTTCAGCAAATAGCTGTTGTTGCCCATGAGGTTATCAGACCCTTGACCTGGTACAGCTGTTTTACTTGTGCTGAAATGTGTTTCCATTTCATTGCGGCTGGTACTGGTTCTCGTTCAGCTGATGAATTTGCACTGTTCCATCTGCTGACTCCAGGCTGTTCCTTGAAGGAACTCAGAATTCCGATTTGAAGCATCATGCTGTCTTCCCTCAGGAGATGGCTGGTTTTGTAGGATTTCTGCCTGTATTTCTCCAAGGACTGAATCGGGTTTCTTGGGGTTTTGAATGATCAAGTTTGCACTCTTAATGGCATTGATCAGGGGGCAGGTTAGGATTCCTGCCTCAAATCTAAATCTGCCACCTCCTTCTGAAAGTTTTCCACGTGACATCACAGCATATCCATGTCATACAACTAAAAATGTTGAAATTCCCTTTAACTTTCTACCAAACAATTTTCAATGAGATAAATGGGAACTAGAACCCTCATGTTGTCAGTATATCCATTTGTCACTACTGATATGGTAATCTGTGAGACCTTTAGGTAAACTGTGTCAAGAAAGAAATATTCCAAGCTGGATTTGACAGGATAATATATTTTATCTTCATATGCATTTTGTTTAATTGATAAAGAAGTATTTAGTGATCCCAGAGAGAAGGGATGTTGACCTGTTGTACACTTCAGGAAACCAAATGGCTTCACCAACAAGTTCAGGGTCGTGATAGTGACTTTGTAAAATGTTGTTGAAATTATAGACAACATAAAATTATGAATTATTAGAGTTATTGATCGGAATAATTTAGTGTGCACACATGGAGTCTCTTAAAAAAAGAAAATTAGGGAGAAAGTGAGCTAACTTGGATCCCCTATTTTTCATCCTTCTGACTGAGTGTCTGTGGTTGAAACTGTGCTGATCATGCTCTGCCTTATAACTTTGTGTAATGAAAGTAAGGAATGGTAGGATATAAGTATGTAAACAACTGAGTCTGTTTACTGTATAAACAAATCAAAAAACTAGTGTCTGGTTGTGGAAGTGTATGTGTGTGTGACTCCAGGATACCACCATGGTTGTCTTCCTTTTGTAATAAGTATGAAAGAATGTACTCATGCAGAAAAACATACAAAATGGTAATCATTGATATTAGGAAAGGTAACTGCAATTGTGTCATCTAGGAGAAAAATAGCCATGAAACACAAGTTTTAACCAAGTCAGATAATTCAGAAGATGCAGGAGGCTGTCTGCAGAGTAGGAGTCTTTCAAATTTTGGAAGTTTTGTGATTGACCTTAACTTTTGATGTAATGAGTTAGCTGTTTTCTAGTCCTAGCCAATGTTGTACATTAAATCAGTGTCCCTGTGTGCTGTATTCTATTTTCCAGTTGAATTGGAACAATTTATCACTTAGCATTAAGTTGAAATTCAACATTTAGATACATGGTTGCATATGTCAATTTGAATAGGTGCCTGGAATACTTGCTAAGAAATGATGCCAATCCGGGGATCCGAGACAAACAAGGATACAATGCAGTTCATTATTCAGCGGCTTATGGTCATCGCTTGTGTCTTGAATTGGTAAGAAAACGTATCATAGATGAAAGCTGTAACAGCTGCTCTTACACAGTGTGAGGGAGAGGCCAGGGGATTCTTCCACCTTGGTTCTAAACCTGTAAGCTGGGTCAATATTGTTTTTCAGCCTCTGTAAGCATAAATATTTAAGCATTTGGTATTCCTAAAACAGAAGGTGAGGAGCTGAGATGCTGGACACTGGCTTTAAAGAGAATACATTCTCAGATGAGTAGAGGACATCCTCTGGTTGAGAATGTGGAATATTAGTTTTGTTTCTCAACTTAGACTGTACTTCTAATTTTTTTTGCTGATGGCTGAAATAAAATAACCATCAAGAACTTCTAAGAACTTTCATGAAGGTCATTAGAAGGAGCAAATGACAATATAGGGAAAACCTGTAAAGAAAGGGTGCCTTATAAAATTAATTCATGTAGTTACAGTAACTACTGGCCAGATATTTTAGATAATAAAGCCTTAGTTAGTTTTTTATTACTCCTTTTGCACAAATATATGTTATCTGATATGCTGTGTTATACAGTTTCAGTATTTTTATTCCAATTGCAGTTTTATATTCAAATGTTTTCAAACATGAATTCTTACTGTTTTTAATTGCAGATTGCAAGCGAAACACCTCTAGATGTTGTAAGTGTATTATTTCTCACTGTTAAAGTACTGCTATACAGCAAAAGAGAACATATAATTTCAAAAATAATGCTTATTTTTAGACTTATTCAACCATTTCTTCAATGCATAAATATATTATTTAATTTCAACTACAATTTAGATTTAATTGCACTTTGGAATTTTAAAATAGGAAATTATTTTTTAAGCCATGTACTTTTTTACTTAAACAATTGTATGACCATGTTATAAAACTGTGATAATGAAAACATGATTTGAATGTATGTTGTGTTCTTCAGCCACTTTGAATGTTTTAATTCTACTTGTGTACTCAATTAAATGGTCTTGAAAAAGACCCAGAATGAAAACTTTTGGATACATCTGAAAGTAACAGATAGAAATGTATATACATAGGTATTTTAATGCCATACTACCTCTGCCTTTTTTGAGACCATTTTTTCTCTCTCAGAAATGTTTTTCTGTTCTGAGAAGTCAATCCTGCCTTCTGGCCTTTCACGTTGTTTTCTTGCTGATGTTTCACCTAATCTAAAAGCTTACTTGGTTGGTTGTTTGGTTTTTCATTTTTTCCTGCTGCTATCACCTGTCCTTGTCTTCTCTTTGTATACATTTCATCTATATTATTTCATATGGCTGCTTCAGAAAAAATGATTTTAGCTTAGTTTCTGATTTAATTATTGCTTTGTTATGCAAAATTAACCAACTGGGCTTAGTGGCTGGATATGGGGGAAGGGTTGCAGTCACTGTAATTCAAACTCTGTAAAAGGTTGAAGGAGATCAGGAGATAGTAATTTTATATTATTCTTCCTGTTTTTTTTT